AAAAAAGAGAGAAAATTATATTTGGCTTGTTCGTCTCGCAATCGACGGTAGCAATTTTTATTTCGCATAAAGATCCGCAGTCAACCATCAAGACGCGCATAAAATAGTGACTGAAAACCAACGAGATCCAAAATTGTGTCCTCTGTCCCTTAAAATCGTTACTGGAATGCCCTGATCGAACATCAAGGACCCGATTCTGAAAACGCTCATCTACAATAAAAGCTCCGTTTACTTCATCTATTCACGAAAGCTTCCCATTCCCATCATAGCAACCCAAGGATACATCTATCAATGATCAAAGTCAGCCTTCTCGAAAAGACTCAGTGATCTGCATGAGCATACCCAGACCCATCCTCTATCACGAAAACCATCAAAAGTGCACCTCTGCCCAAGCATCAAAGCCCTCAAAAAAGCATCGTCTCCTTAAAAAGAGCATCTCCATCAAAAGCTTCGGCTGCCTCGTCAACTCGGATCCACTAAACAGCATCAAAAGTAGTATCTCCATCGTCAGAACAGCATCCAAGGACCAGATCCAAGCCTAAGACCCAGATACAAGCCCAAAAGACCCAGATCCAGGCCCAAGAGACCCAGATCCAAGCACAAGAGACCCATATCGATGCCCAAGTGACCAAGATTCAAACCCAAAGACCAGATGTAAGCCCAAAAGATCCAGATCCAAGTCCAAGAGACCCAGATCCAAGTCCAAGAGACCCAGATCCAAGCTCAAGAGACTCAGATCCAAGCCCAAGGGACCCAGATCCAAGCCCAAGAGACCCAGATCCAAGCCCAAGAGACCCAGATGCAAGCCCAAGCGACCCAGATCCAAGCCCAAGCGACCCATCATCTCCCAAAGATCACAACCTCGTCAGAATCACCGGCAGCAATTACTTAATCTCAGTAAAACCGTACTCACCAAGAGGTCTGCGTAGGTATCGACGGCAGTGCACCGGGCGGCAAGGATCTCCTGATAGCCTGGCAGCATGATCGTCCGCTTCCGGCGACCTCGTTGCAGCACGACGGCGGATTCGTGCAAACGTGTCGTCCGCCGACGCTGGCCGAGGTGGTCGGGAACTCGACGGCGGAGGCTCGCACCTTCGGCCTGAGCAAAGGCGACATGGAGAACCCGTCCCGCTGATTAGACGCCGAGCTGCTGGAGCTGCTGGAGCCAGGGCTGCCTCCTAGACGACCGGGCGATGCGTAGGCGAAGCCACGGAGCCGGAAGTGCGACTGATGATAAGGATAGCCTGCCGGCGGCGGTAGCCGGTAATGATGATGGAAGCCGAGGTCTCGTCTCATGTAGGGATCTCCTGGATCGTTGGTGGGCACGTAGCGATCGGTGGGCGTGTGCGCGGACGGCGGCACGTACCTGTCCACGTACCTGTCCGGATAGAGCACCTCCGGCGGCGGCTGTGGCACGTACCTTTCGACCGGCGTGTGCGCGGTGGGCGGCACGTAGCTGCCGGTCGCGTTCGATCCGCCGTAGACGCGATCGGTGGTGGCCGTGGACGTGGCCGCGGCCGAGCCGCAGGACGAGATCGGCGTTATGCGGCCGGTGTAGCGGTCCTTCGGCTTCGGCAGGGACAAGTACTTGTCCGCGGCCCGCGCAGGAGAGTATCGATCAGCGGCGGAATGAAAGCGATCAGGAGCGCCGGTAGAGGCGACGAACCGGTCGCCGGCCACCGATCCGGCGAACCTGTCGTACCGGTCCTGGCTGAGCCTGTCGAACTGGTCGCTCGGGTTCCCGGCGGCGTAGCGCTCGCTCGCGTAGCTCTGCACGGACTTCGACACCTGCAGGTACTTGTCGATGCCGGTCTTGGTCGCGCCCTGGTAGCCGGAGCCGGCCGAGGCGACCGCGGCGCCGGATCCCGACCTGAGAACAGGAGGAGGAACAGCAGCTTCCGGCGTCGGGGAGATCGAGGTGAAGCGATCATTGGAGCTCGACTGTGTGGCAGTGGTGTTCGTGTACGACGAGTGGTATCTGGCGATCGTGTCCGTGGAGGAGGAAGATGAGGACGAGGTGGTCGAGAGCAATCTTTCCGTGGAGGAGCCGGAGACGGTGTACCGGGAGGCGTCGGCCGCGACGAGCCTGCCGTCGTGGCCGGGCGACGAGCTGGCGAGGAACCGATCGGTGGAGACGCAGTACCGATCGTTGGCTCGCGACTGGTTGCATCGTTGAACGGCGGCCTCGTTGAACCTGTCGGTGGCAGTGACGTATCTGGACTGGCCGCCGGCGACCTCCTGGAAGCTGGAGTAACGACCGAAGTCGGCCGAGGCCGGGGAGCCGTTCGATCGGTCCTGGTACTTCTGGCAGACCGTCTCGACGCCGCGGTCGGCGTACAGCCGCCTCTGCTCGCCGGTGCTCGAGACCTGCAGGGTCCTCTCCGTCGACGAGTATCGCTGATGCGGGGTCTCGGCGGTTGCTTGGCTCGCGAGGAACTTCTCGGCGGTGGACGATATCGTCGAGTAACGCTCGTGATGGACGGCCGACGCGGTCTCCGGCCTGTGGTACCGGTCGTAGACCGGCGACTCGCCGATGTACCGGTCCGTCGACTTGCTCGCGAACCTCTCCGGCACCGGGGCGTGTATAGGCGACGCGGATAGGAGCCGGTCCGCGGAGATCGCGCCGTATCTGGAGCCGGCGGACTCCTTGGCGGCCGTGTAGCCGCCGGCTCGGTCGCCTTGTAGGCTGACTTGAAGGGTTCCCAGAACCGGCGACGATCCGGACAACAGGCGATCGCTGGCAGCAGCGTATCGTTGCTGGTCCTTGCACTCGTGCAGACCGGCTGACGATGACTGCTGATTGGCCAGTAATCGGTCCGCCGAGGAGAACCGGTCGGCGGCTGGCATCGGGGAGGCTGGCGCTGTGCCCCCGCCATACTTGGCGCTTGGAGAACCTGGGGGCAGAATCCTATCAGCAGCAGGGTAGCCAGCCAGACTCTGGGTCGAGGCGTACTTCTCGCTTGGGCTGGGCGACAATGGCGGTGGTGGAACGAAACGATCGTTCGCGGGCGCTGGCGACGGCGGCGAGGGGAACGTCTCCGACGAGAAAGGGCTGGTCGCGCAGCCGCCCGACACCAGGATGCTGGTGTTCGCGTACTCGTTCCCGCCGGACAGCTCGCCGTCAACGTTCCCGGACGACGGCTGGTATCGGTCGCTCGGGACCAGCGACAGCCTCTGCTCGCCGTGCAAGCCGCCGAGCTCGCCGAACCGCGGGAAACGATCCGACAGCACGCTCTGGGACAACGTCTGCCCGGACGTGACCGACCTGGCCGGCGTGTACTGGTGGTGGGACTGCAGGGAGGACTGGCCGAACCGGTCCTGGCTCTGATAGTGACCGAACCGATCGCAGCTCGACTGCAACGAACGCGCCTCGCCGACGCACTGCTTCGGAAAGTCGTCCAGCGACGGCTTGTCCGTCGACTTGTCGTGACGGTCCAGCACCGAGAGACGATCCCGGCCGCCATAGTCGTGATCGCTGAGCTGACCTTGAGCCTCCGGCTGGTAACGCTCTTGGCCGCCGGCCGAGCCCGAGCTGCTCGACGACGACTGTTGCTGCTGTTGCTGTTGTTGTTGGTGTTGTTGGTGTTGCTGTTGCTGTTGTTGCTGCTGCTGCTGCTGCGGCTTGTTGCAGTCCGATGGGTTGGCGGCACCGATCTGGGACCCGACACTTCCAGACGCCACGGCGGTCGATCCTGGAACCGGAGATGACGAGGACCCGTACTGAGAGATCGGGTGTTGGTGCAGTAGGAGACGTTCTCTTCGGCCATAGTCGTCGTCTGTCGGCATCCTGGTGGCCCGGGGCCCGCTGTCAGGACATCTGTAGGCAGAGAAGCGATTGGGTTAGTTCTGGGATCATGAGGAGAGACGAGGAAACTTGGGGCTAGTTTTAGGGTGCAAGTAGAAGAGGTCAACGATTCGTCGGGCAACGAGGACATTCGACTTGACATAGCATCGATAATTAATCGTTAAAATTCCCATAGAGTCGAGCAATTTAATTAAGCGAACCGAAAATAGAAAGTTAAGATTTATTATAGTGGATAAAATTAGGATTCCTTCGAATCCGAAACATCCTGGGCGAATTTAGTTTGTTCGAATACAATAATGTCTCCCTTACTGACGCACAGGTTGGACAGTAATATCTCCCTTATTGACGCTCAGATTGTCCACTAAATTGGATAATTTGGGAAGTGGAGATACGATTATTCGAGTCTTGCAGCTCATTTTTATAATTGTTGACAATTCGTAAGTATAAAAATGAACCTCTTCTTAAACTGTCCATTTGTTTTGTGGACAATCTGAGCGTCGATTAGAGAGACACTACTGTATACTAGAACGAAAATGAATGTTCGAAGTCGGTTAAATATTCGTGTCACCCATAGGTGACCGACTCGCGCGACTTTTTAGCTGGATGATTCGTTCGATCGAGCGAAAACAATGGAACGGATAACTTCAGTCGCGACATTTTTTGTCAACTACTATTTACCTCGTTCGGGAATAAATCATCCGCGGAGTAACTTGTTTGCGAATAATTAATGCGGGAATAATTTATTTGCGAACGATTTGTTCGGGAATGATTTATTTGCGAGCGGTTCGTTCGCGAATAATTTACTCGGGGACGATTTATTCGTGCGTGAACCGTTCGCGAGCAAAATGTTATCTATCCTTGCGAGTCGAATAAAAATGTATAGTCGGCGTTCAGATCTCCGAGAAAGACCGTCTTAAGCCGAGATATCGTTGTCTCGGGTTTCAGCAGTCCGGCGCGCAATTAGACGGTCGTTTGTTAGCGGCGACGTGATTTTCAATAATATTTTAGCAGCGAAATATAATTGGCGAATGTGACCGAAGGCGGGATACGAATTGCTTGTTACTTGACGTTAAAACGCGGCCCGTATAATCGATTGGAAATTAATTGGGGCCGCGCTAACCCGCGTTTCGGAACGGTCCAGCGTGTACCGAACGAGTGACGCGTGCGGTCGTTCGTAACCACTGGCGAGGCTGCTGCGAATTACCGCGAAACACAACGATTTCATCGATCACTGCTTAAATCCTCCGAAGAGTATCCGGACGCCGCCGTGCCGCCGGTTTTCCACCCCGTGAAACTTTTACCAGAGGCTTCCGGCCATGGTGGTCGATGCGAAATTAACGGTGCTGCCACGTCGCTAATACCCCCGGAAGCCTGCATTAGATTTTCTGTTACGTTTTTTTACGGCCAACAAAGCGTTCCGCGAAGCTCAACCAACGGAATATATTCGAACCGATCGAACAGCTCGCGTCGAAGAACCGTCGTGCTCGAAAACGACGGCATTGATCGGTTTTATTATATATTCTAGATAAAACAGGCGTTCGAGGATCATCGTTACGCGTGTAATTTTGTTTACAAATAGTGTACAAAAATTGAATCGAAAAGATTATAGCATAGAAGAATTTTCGATAGAAATTGACCAACTTTGACCGACGACAACTTCGCTAGAAATCATCGTAGGATCGTGAAGGTTTCTTAAAATTAAAGCTCGAAACCTCTACTTTAAGATAGCGTTTTTGGATTTTAAGTTCGATGCACCCTCGCCACTATAAAGGAATAAACGCGAGGCCATGAAAATCGCCGAGTTTGATGTCCCCGATATATGACGAAACTGCAAGGGTTGATTCAAAACACTATAACTTCGCGAGAAAAAATCGCAGCCCCATTTCTTTTTTTTCAAATTAAAGATAAAGAATCGAACTTCAGCACGATGCAAACGGCGTTCACGAAAAAAATTTGACAAGCTCCGTGCACTTCGTCAAACATGGTCAAACAATTTTCAACGTGACGAACATGGCCTCGCATTTAAATGATCACAGTGGTAAATATGCATCGAACTTAAAATCCAGAAACACTATCTTAATCTAGAGATTCCAATCTTTAATTTGAGAGGAAAATGATTATCCTACGACGATTTTTCGCAGAGTTATCACCGATCGAATCTAGCCAACTTTCGATCGAAAATGTTCCCGGAAACGCATCCGAATTGAAAAAAAGCTCGTTCATAAATTCTTTGGCAAAAGAATACTCGGCGAACTAACGTTACAGCCAACGCCGAAACGAGTCCAATGACCCATATAATCCGGTCTTTAAGTCTTGGAATAACGCCGAAATACGCGCGAACAGCTAATTATTCGATGTGGCTGGCGCGCGCGCGATCGACGAACGATACGCGGTATTAATTCGGCGATCGAGCCGTTAAATCGGCCGAGCCTAGATTAATATATTCGCGGCTGATATTCTCAAATAGAAATTACTTTCGCTATGCGTTTCGACTAATCCGTGCTCGCGAAGTTACAGCAAAATAGTCCTCGTCCATAATTTCTCCCGGGGTATTACGCTGCTCTCGGCCGCTACAGTCCGGTAATTGTTGTTCGCGCGGATACCGTGTAACCGTCGGATTAATCGGAAACAATATTGCAAATTACACGTGACAATGCGATACTTATTGGTCCCGCCGGGACGACCACCGCGGTCCCCCGAAAAGTGTTCGCAGTTTTCCCAGAAATATTGTTAACGCGTCGGTTGTTTGGCCGCGATTAGCGTTCCGCTCCGCGGAGACGAGAATTCCTCTTCGGAATTCGGAATTCCTCTGTGCTCGCGACCGGGAAACTCGATACACGGCCCCCCTAATTAGGGGTTAACGGAATTACGACGGTCTGATAATCCCGAAGTCTCGCCGCGGCGCGTCGGCCGCTGTTCGCAAAAAGCCGCGTGTAACTTCGTCCGCGGAATTAGGGCCGCCGGGACGCGGCGAACAGCCACGTTCTTGTAACGGCGAGGTGTAACCGACGGCGGCGGCGGTGTAATAGCTCGTGTATTAAAAGCGAGCCTAGAACCGGCAATCGCACCGTGCCGGAATCAACCGTGTAATCGATCGGACGTTTCGCCGTGAAAGATGACGGCGCGGCCGAGGTATCGACCACCGAGCGTCCCTGTCATTAGCAACCGTGTCATTTCAGCACCGTAAAACATGTATCGGCCGTGTTCTTCGCGTTCGCGCACCCACGATTAGCCTAACTTTTTCTCGACGATGATTAGAGACCGATCGCGATTTAGCTCTCGTTTTCCTTCCGAGTTCCGCGGAGGAGCAGATATCAGAAACTGGCGGCCACGGTTCAAGATAACGAAACGATATCATTATTAAACGAGACGCGATCGTGTTTTACGAAGATCGATTCGACGCGGCGAATTTTATTTTTTAATGTTGAGACAGAGGAGCAGGCGAATGTTTCGTAAAGGCGTACTTGTTGGACCGATGACAGCATTGTAATTGCTGGACGGCGGATTTTTGTAGAAAGTAATAATTAACGGCACTCGTTTCGAGCTCTAGGTGCTACGAACATAGTTGTTTGTTTTCATTTTAAACGAATTAGAATTAATAGTTAATAATACTTTTAAATTCTTGATAGTGTTCTCGAATTGTCAACGGTATTTTGAAATTCTTAATGATATCATTGAATTCAAATTGAATTAATAATACCTTTAAATTCTTTAACTGTATTTTATGTTTTGTACTTGGTATATTTGTTTTTGCCACAACTGCATAAAATTAATACTTAATAATACTTTTAAGTTCTTAACCCTAGAAAGATAACCATATGACAACGTACGTAAAAGATAACCATACGCTTCAGAGGCGCATGCTTTTCTAAGGCGTCAATTTTATACTAACAATGGATATTTATTTAAGTTAATCTAGTCATTTTAAAGGTTTGGCATTATTGTAAAAATAAAATGCATTTATATTATATTTTCTTATATTTTAAGTAATTTTAAACTTAAATCACTAGACCTCTATGAAAAATTAACAAAAATCAACAGTCTTTCGCAGGCGCCTCTGCGACGTAGGTTATCTTTCTCGGGTTAATAATGTTCTCGAATTGCCAACGATATATTAAAATTCTTAATGATATCACTGAATTCAAATTAAATTAATACCTTCAAATTCTTTAACCGCATTCAATGCTCTGCACTTGGTCTATTTGCTTTTGCTACAACTGTATAAAATTCGCTGTCTACCAATGACATTTCTATTTGGAAAACATATCAGGAAATTTGTCTAACAAAATGGAAAAGATATAGAAAATGATGAAATGAAAACGAAGAAAACGTGTATCATCGAATATGATACACGTAAGTCTGGTTTTCTAACATTAAAAAACCTGTTTCGTTCGTCCCATCTCGAGCTGACAACAGCTCGTCGTCCGATCACAGACCGACCGTAACCACTTCTCCGATCGTTCACCAACCAATTCTACTTGTCCGATCGGTCACCGACCAATTCTACTCGCCCGCGCGCATTTATATCTACAGAACTGAACGCTTTAATTATTTTATTTTCAATTTGTCTGGACATGGGCCGACCTATTCCACTGGTCCGATCGCAGACGGACCTGCTCCGCTTGGAGCCGCTGAACGACAATGAACGGCAGCTCGGAACAGAAAAAAGGCTTTTTGCGAGCCATTAACTAAACGAGCGAACGAGTCCGCCGGCAATTCGCGGTGTGTCGAATCGATCGTAAAGGAGCGCGTTTCGAGCGTTTATGCGAGTTGATACAAAAAGGAAAGAAAAAAAGAGCAGGAGCCGAATGAAAACGTTTTCGGAGCTCGGTGGTCGACTTATCGCGGCGATGCTTAGAACTCGGCCGCGGTGCTCGCGATTTTTGTGGATCGCGGGGGGAGGAGGGGGCAGCGCGGATCGTGCAAATAACATTTATTGGGGCCGGCAGCCGCCGCTGATACGGGAAAGAGAGACATTCGAGCGGTCTGCAATGCGTCTATCGCGGCGAACC